AAATTATTAGTCTGAAGAAGTTCTTTTGAAGGACAAAATGCATACAGTGGCATAGTGTTTGTGGGGCCAGTTGGGCAATTACCCCAGTCTCTAAATTTTTTAGGAATGTAAAAAACTTAAGTAGGTTGAAAAAATACATACAAAACTAGAATTTATAACAGCTAAGGAGGAGGTGCAATAGTTTAAATTGCAGTCAAAACCCACCTTGTGCCAGTGGGTACACAATATAGGATTTTTTTTCTGTTTTGATATTCATTTTCCCATGATTAGATTGATATATTGATTTGTATCCCCCATCTATTTCTCCTTCTCTCGCTCTCTCTCTCTCTCTCTCTCTCTATATATATATATATATATATATATATAGAGAGAGAGAGAGAGAATATCAATAAGTCCTTAGCCATACACATTTATAAGCTGAATTTTGATCTGAAATTTTCACTATAATCCTCGATCAATGTGATTAATATTCACCACTTAATTAAGTGCATTGACAATGTTAAATTATTTGTTTTATAAAATAAATGGTTTTTCCTCATCATTGTGTGTATACACCCCTTACTTTTTTGTGCTTTGTCCCTTTAGGAGGTTGATGATAATGGCTTTCCATAAGTTCCTGTTCTTTGTAGCTCTAAGAAACATTTCTCCGCTTATCATCCACCCCAATCTCTGTTTTGCCATTCATTTACACAAAGTTGTTACATGGGTTGCTCAGCATTTTCTTTTGCCTCTTTTACCTTCAATATGTGTTGTGAGAACTAAAATCTCTAAGCCCTCTTTTCTCATTACGTATCCCTAAAATTTCAACTCTTTCTGATTGCAAGTATAAGTACTCTTTTCATTCCTATTTTCCTTAAAACTTCCTTGCTTCACACACATTCTGTCCATGGTATTCTCAGCATCCTTCTGTAGAATCAGATCTCTGTTGCTTTATGCTTTATCTTCAGCTGTGAGGAAATAATCTAGCATTCACTGCTATATAGGAGGATACATATTAAATATTAGTTCAACACTCTTTTCTTTGTTTCTAACAAAATTTTCCTATCTCTTAATACTTGGTTTAGTTTCTGGAAGGCATCTTTTATAAAAATTTAAATATTAAAATAAAAATATATACAACTCTATGGTCCTTATGACTACTTAAAAGCAAAGACGTTATTAACCAATGCAGTATTTGGACCTTTCATAATAATCTTTGATAGTGAGCCTGTTTGTGTATCTGGTTAGGTTAATAAAAATTGAATTTTCTGAAAAAAAAGAAAAAACTAAGGATTATTTCCCACAGAAATAAAGAATGGAATTTGAAACCTGCAATAATTCCAACAGATACCTTTGTGAACCTACCTGCCTAAGTATAAAGAAGGATGATTAAAATCGCTATTCATTCACACCTCATCAGAGTGGATAGTCAGCACTGAGGGCCAAGCATATTAATTAACATTTTCAACTGAGAGTGTTGTTATACTACTTTAATCAAGATCTCTTTTTGATTCACAAATACATTTCATTAGAAATGTCAGCCAGATGTGACTGCTAAGAAAGCCAAACCCAAAATAAAAAAGTCATCTTCTGTGCAGGTGTTCCGAACATCACATCTAGTTCACAAAACAAATCCATGCAAAAATCTAAAATACAATAGCCAATCACAAGTGTTTCTGCAAAAGAAAAAAAAAAAATGGATGAGCCCAGGAGCCTGCACCTGTTAAATCACAGATATAAAAAAAAGCACACCTCACTGATAACAGGCATTTCTGCTCAACACTTCAACTTCATCACACAACTGCCAACCCATCCACACACTTCACTGGTGTCAATTTTAAACCTGAAGATAAATGGATCAACCCTGCCAACAACATTCAACTCATGCTACCACATGGCTTCATTAATCCATTCCAGGCTTTTTCAATCAACCCACTACCTGCACACAATCTTACTAACAACACTTTTACACCTAATCGATTCCCTTACCAATGGCAACTAAAGAATCAGATACCAACAATTTTGTCACCTTTTCACACAACTATGTATATATTCTGAAAATTGATCAATACACACTGTTGTAACTAAAATCCTTGTTTGTACTTTCCTTTACATCCATATGTCCACTATAACTCCATTTAGCCTCAAATGCAATGTGGTCAATCAAAAAACATCAGGTAGTATACCAAAACTAAAAACTAACAATTTGTTCTTTTAAAATTACCTTAAAGCAGATCAAATCCTCCTCAAAGATACATGATAAAAATGTTATTTTTATTACTTTAAAATTATCTTAGTCTTAAATAATTTGTTAAATAATCTGGGTTGTTTTTTTATACATGTTCTTTTGAGAGAAGTGTATTTTTAAGAAAGTTAGACGGTTTGTAAAAAAAAAAATATTGCATGTGTTTTTGGCACAGTGGTTAAAAGCCACCAAAATTGTTAAGGATTCATTTTTAATTTGGGAAAAATATTTTTTCATATTTTTTGGCCAATGAGAGACATGGTCTCAAGCCCCTGTGAAAACCTGAATGGAGCATTCTGTGAGCCTCTTTTTTGGAATTCTGTGAGCCTCTTTTTTTGGAATAAACTGAACTCCAGTGAGCAGATAATTCCAGAAGGCATTTGAAATCAAGAAGAATGCATCTAGATATTTAGGCGAGAAGGCACAGAGTTACAAAACAGCTGCAGAATTTTGATGTTCACAAGTGGAAATTCTCCTGCAGTTGGACAACAAAGAAAAAGAATACAAAGAAAATTTCCCAAAAGTCTCAGTGAAGCATGAACAGTATGAATATAAAAAAAAAACATTTCCAAAATTGCTATAAACCCCAGAGATCCTTGTGGGACAAGTAAAAGCTGTAATATTTTTGTTTTTTTCTAAAAGGTGGTTGCATCTAGATCATGCGTTCGCTTTTTGTCATTTTTAAATTGAATCCTTGTCTTTTTCTAAATTGTAATCCTTTTTTCATTTTTGTTTGGTTTGGTTTGTTTTACAGCATATCAGACTCAATGGGTTATTTAATGCCAACAAGATTTTTATTACTGGTAATTCTTTTTTTTTTAAAAATGTATAGTTGGTAAAGTTTTTTCAACAATGTATTGCTGGTAATAATTTTTCTTCAAAAATTTATTGCTGGTAATAATTTTTTACAAAGTATTTCTGGTACTAAAACCTATTTTTACACTTTCATAGTGTTTTGATCCCAGTTTGGGGGTTAACTATTTATCCATAGCTGGGATCCTAACAGATGCTACCATCGCAAGTCAGGGTGAATCTGGTAACACCAGCAATTAAGAGGTGGTTCTACACTCCTCAAAACCTCTTGATCAGAGGCCTTGCCGTTGAACATAGTTTATCGTCATACCTACAACGGTTTTTCATTTTCAATGGTAATACTTTTTTTGCAACATATCAGAAATTGTTATCTTGCCTTAATAAGTGCACAAAAGGAAATTTTTGTGCAAATTTTGTATTTGTACCTTTTTTGTCTGTACTAATGTAATGTTTTTCCTTTAAGATTTTATGCAGCGGTTGAGTCTTATTTGTTATTTGCATCTATTTTCACATTTCGTTTCCCATTCTATTCCTACTAATTAGGCTTTTGTGTTTGGTACAAGAATTTAAGATTTAGAGTAAAATTTTTTTATAACATCACCACTACCATAATTCTACATTTGTCACTCTTCACTAAACAACAGATGCTTTGCTACCACAATTGACCTATTGACCCCTGACAAGTCAGAACATTAACTAGAATGTGTGAATTTTCACTGTATCTCTTTACCAAGAACAACTTTTTAAATTTACCATTTAATAATGTAAGTCCCACTTTAACATAAACATTTTTCTCTATCTGGTTTAATTTTTATCAGGTTCTCAAAATAATTTTTTGAGCAAGCCTTCAAACACTTCTATTCTTATAAACTTATTGTAAATAAATATATTCCTTCTGTTCCATTTCACACTGGGTATGAGTCTTTTTCTGTGAGTGTGCCTAATGAACCAAGTACATTTTTATGCCCCCCCCTCATTCTTTCTCTATTCCAATGCACCTTTGGATTTCTGTATCATATGTTACAGCACTATCCAGATATTTAAATTTCTGTACTTGCTTCATTCTGAAATCACCATTTTGTAACTTACACCTTCTGTTGGCACACTGATTTCTCATACAGTCTCCAAAGTTAAGCAACATTGAGCCTGGTTGGTGACCACTTATGAATACCAAGTGCTTGGATGTGCAGGTGTTGTAATGGATAATGGCTTGGGATTGTTATTTGGAGAGTCGTGTTCCAATTGCCGCTGCTTGGGAAAGGTATGAATCCAGCTCTCCCTCCCAGCTATGAGCTAATTAGTAAGAATTGCATAAACATTGTTACCTCAAAAAAAAAAAAAAAAAATCTTACAATATAAAAATATTTTCTGGCTTTAAATAACCTGGGTTGATAAGCCATAGAAAATGAATCAGTCAGTCAATTCAGCTGCCCCTTGTACTGACGACCATACATTGTGGTCTTACTTAGTCCTTTCATCTCGCTTTCCCTTATTGTCTATTTTTGCTTCCTTTCTAAGTCTCTACCATCATCATTGTCATTTGGGTATCTTATATTGTTATGGGTGTGTTCGACGATAATAAATCTTGGTAAGTCTTTATCTTTACATTCTTTTCGGATGGCCTACTGTCAGACTTAAAAAAACGTTAAAAAACACAAGTTTTAGAAATTTTAGTTACTTACTTAACAGTAGTAACAACAGTAACAGTAGTAACACTAACAGTTTTTTTTTTTTTGTTTTTTTGTTTGAATTTCTGTTTTTAGTGTTTCTGTTTACAATACAAGAAAATTTTGCAAAATTAAGAAAATAAATTAATTAAAGATAATAGTATATATTGTTCCAATAAATATTTTTTGCTTTCAGAGTTAAAAATAAATAAACTAATTACTTGCTATATTTCAAATAATTTTACTAAAAAATTGTATGTAATCTAATCCTACTATAATTTTCCACGCATTTTCCAATGTTTTGCTGCATAGTAGTAAGTGTTAGTCCGCATCGTTGACACACAAAAAAATAATCCATCAGATATTTCAGATTTTTATGTCTTTTATAAACCAGTAAAGCATCTATCCTAGCTTTTTTTTTATGTAGCCGTCAGTTTTATTTAATCATAAGAAATATTTTTATTAAAATAAGAAAAATGTCTATTTATTATTACCTTTTACGATGCATACGGGTATCGAACTATAAGATTCATGCGCGGTTTTGATATGGCGTACAACATGCTTGCAATGTGGTCGGAATTATCTGCCTAAAAGATTTACTTTTTTCCCCGCCATTCTCCTTAAGTTGGTTGTTTATAAATATGTACAGGAATTTTTCATCCGATGATGGCTTTCACGTGAGATTTTAAAGAAGTATCCGCAAGTATGTTTATTATTTTCTTTCGATATTTTTTTTGCAATACGGTAGCCTGTATGTATCACTTTTTAGTTTCACAACATAATAAAATTGGATCCATCCATTGAGCTAAAAAGTATAAATTTAAAAAAAATATTTTTTCCTAATTGTTTCGTGAAAAAAAATAAGGAATTCAAGCAGAACATTTCTTTTTATAATTCTGTATTTCACATCGAACAGAAGAAATTTGTTTATGACCTCTCTTCTTGGGTTTTGAAATGCTGTTTTTAGAACAGAATTGATTTTTTTTTTTTTTTTGCTCATTATCTTTACAAATTAAAAAAAATAGGAAAAATATTCTCTACTGTAGTAATCTTAAACTATCTTCAATTTCTCGTTTTTCATTTTAAAATCTTGTTAAAAAAAATAGCGTATATTAAAAAAAATATATGGGGATACTAATTTTAAATTTACAAAAAATCGTGTAGTCTAGGTGTTACTGTTTGCAATAGAAAAATATATTTAAAAAACATTATTTTAATTTGAACAGTTTTTTTTTTTTTTTTTTTCTACTTGAGTTAATTTCTGTTCTCTCCTTTTCTTCCCCCGTATCAAATCGAGAAATTAACTTTTTTAAGTAAAAGTTCCATTTAGCCGCAAAACTTAACCGATTTGAAATACCATAAAAAATCTCCTGATTTTACTCGCGTGTATAAATAAAAAACTTAACCAAAATTAAGGAAAAACCGCGGAAATTGGAATTTTAGTTGAATTTTAAAGTTCTTGCTTGTAAACAATTTATTTGACTGGCAATATAATGTGACTGAAGTAGTAAAAAACAAATATGTAGATGGCTGGTCGTACTCTACTCAATTCTTTTTCTCTACAGCCCCCCGCCTCATTCATAAGAATTTCCCTGTTCACTCAAAGAATTCATCTTTCATTACATTCTTCTTTCTTTCCATTTTCTTACTAAAGTAAAATGCCAAGTTTGAAAACGCAAACTATCTTCTCCAAAAATAGTGACAATTCCTCATTTTTAAAATATTTGAAAAGTGTTAAATTCTTGGGTTTCTTGACAAGTCAAGAATTTAACATTAAATTCTTGAGTGAAGAATTTAACAAAATTAAAATGTTCTCATTCTTTTTACTTTTATCCTCCTTCCCTTTGCCAACTTAATGGTAGGACCCCTATTGTTTTTTCGTGGAGTCGATCTGACAGGTGTTACATTTTTCTAGCACCTGTCTTTCAGTCTCTTTCTTTGTCAATTTGTTTAGCAGCGAAATGCACTGTGAAGAAGAAAGAAAAAAAAACTTTCTTTTTGTTTGTGCATTCTAATTGCTTAATTCAATTTGATTTTTTAAAATTTTTTCTTTCTCAATTTGAAACTTTGTAGCTTGAATTAAAGAAAACTAGAAAGTTTTTTTAAATTCAGATTTCCTAAAAAAAAAAAAAAAGTAGTTGCATCAAATCGAATTTTAAGGAAAATATTTAAATTTAATTTATGGATCAAAGAAAAAAAAGAAAACTTACTTTCTCGTCTTTGATTTTTTTTTTTTTTTTTTTTTTTTTAAACCAAAATTGTAATAAATATCTGTTCTAAACTATTTTTCTTTACACCAATAAATTGAATATATCATAAAAATAAAACGGCAAAGAAAGATCAATTGAAATCTTATTTCAGAGATATTTTGGTTTTGATAAATTTTCAATTCCTTCTTGCTTTTTTCGTTTACTTTTTTTTCATAAAGTATTTTGTCTTTCTTTCCCCTAAATATTTTTCCTAAAATTAAGAACTCCTTTTTAAATTCGATGATTCAGAGAAAGTGTGAAACACTTTCTTTGAATTATCGAATTTAAGAGAACATCGATGTCCAATATTTCCTTGTTTGAATAACGGAAGAACCACTGGATAAAAAAAAAAATACTTTAACTCGCGCACAGGGCTTCTAAAAATCTTTCCACGCACATCATAGAACCAATTTATTTATTAGTTAATTAAATAATACTTTTTTTTTTCACATCTAAGAATTTTGAAAATTTCCTTTCCACTAGGTTACAATCGTTACATAATCAAGAAATTTAAGCACAAGAATTAATTAAAATTAATCCGAATTACGGGAATTATTCTGAATTTTTCATTTTTTACAAAAATCTATCGATATGAATTGATATTTACTTGAGTTTACATTCTCATGAAAAAGGACTTTTTAAGCGGTCAAAAGTTCATATACCCAAAGTTAATATCGTTTACGGGCTCCCATATGCAAAATAGGACATCTTTGAAAAGAAATAAAAAAAAAAAAATTAAAAAGAGGAGGATCTTCTGAAACTTCTCACAATAGTAACACGTGCGCTTTTAATTTACGCATGATGTTGTTTTAGTTAAGAATACTTTTTTTTTCTTAACATTTTATTTTAGTGTAAATTAATTATTAACATTGGTGTATTTGTAGATTGTTTATTTGATGAATTGTGTTGCGCTACACGTGAGTAACCAGAATTATTTCCTTCCCCTTTTTTGTGTGTTCGTATGCAATTCAACTATTTCCTTTAAAAAAATGTATTTAAATTTTGGCTATTCATTTCTTTACTTTCATATGTAATAAGAATTTTCGATACATACTTTCTTGTCCGAGCTGCTACTGTGCAAACACAATCTAATAAAAAAAAAAAACACTTCTCTTAAATTCGTAGTATATTTCCAGAATACATTTTTTTTAGAAAATTAGTCTGAGTAACTGACTATATAACTTCATTCATTAGTTTTTATGCAAATTATCTCGCTTGCTACTTGATGCACTTTTTATATATTTTTCAAGAGAAATATATTTTTGTTTTTAAAGGTTTATTTGCTTTTAGTGACAAAGATTTTATTTTTAAATTAGGATATCTTTTTAAATTCTCATGTTCACTATAAAAACTATAAAAATAAACTAAATAAAGTCCTGTTAAAAATCACTGTTATCTTTCAGAGTTCAAGGATTAGAGAGGAAAGTCCATATCATTCAGTACCGTGAGAATGTTTAAGTAGAAGTCGATCACTTTTTTCTTTTTTGTGTGTGTGTTTGTGTACCTCCCAAAGAAAAGTGATAAGGAAATACATTTTTAAATGAAAATCATGAAGCTTAGTTTTATTTTAGTTTTAATTTCAAGCTAATAAAATAGATTTAAATTACATTTATTTCCAATAAGCAAACAATACTTTACTCAATTTCAAACTGATTAAATTGATAGAAATTGTTTTTTTTTTTTTTTTTTTTGGTTTGTTTGTTATAAAATCGATAATAATCGTCTATAGTGATATGTCAACAACACAACGTTATTCTCTTTACTAAGAAAACTTTCAAAAACAAAATATATTCTTCCCAAACTTTATTTGACTAAGATTAGCTAATTTGAAACAAATATATTATTTTAAAATATCACATGGGTGTTTTTTTATGATATGTTGATAACTCTCTTGATAGACTTACGTTTGGAAATTTTTTCCAAGGGGGACATAACTAACAATTACTTGAACGCTTTTTTATATAATTTCTTAACTACTCAGTAATCTTTGAAAATAAAATATTCTAAGCAATCTAATATTTTGTTGGATTTAGGTCCTTGTTTTTATAATCTAACTTACAAAGACACTTGTTGAGGAAATGATAGAAAATTACCAGTAAATTTTAGTTTTTATTTTTACTTTCTGATAACATTGCATTTGGACATCTGTATTTACAAAAATTGACATGATTATACACACACAAAATAAATTCAAAATTCTTTTTAAAATATTGGAGATTATTAAATTATGCTGCAATTTTCCATTTATGATTAGTAAATACAGTCTTAATTTAATAACAATTTCACTTGACCACTACAAATTAATACAGAATTTTAAAAGATTCAAATGTTTATAAATTATTCTAATTAAAATTTGAAAAATAATAAAAACAATTCTTGTAAAAATTCATTATTCATTGAAAAAAAGTTTTTTCTCTTAAGAAAAGTGTCCCTAACATATTTTAAAAGTCTTTCTAATTGAATAATGTCTTAGTTTTATTGCATTTTTTTTATTTTACAAATCCGAGCATATTTTCTGTAACTGGTGATCCTGTTTGACCAAATAAATTCTATGAATTAAATTCTCCAAGAACTTGTCCTTATAACTAATATAAACATTAAGTGCTACAAAAAATGAATTTCTCAAACTTTCAGAAAAATAAGTGGGGATTAATAGATGTAAAAAAAACAAAATTACAAAGATTTTCTGAAAAAGAAACATTTCAAAAACATTCATTCATTTGTGAATAAATCCTGAAAGTTTCATTATAATCTAACAATTATCTGATTTTTGCAAGAATTTCAAAATCAGTGTTTTGCACCATGAAAAGATGCTAAAATTTCTCATACAAATTTATGGTACAGCATTGACACCAAAGAAACATAATTTTCTAACCAAAATTTTGAAGATTCTAAAAAGGATTAAAAAATTATATGGGAATCAATTTTTTATTTTTTATTTTTATTTTTAATCTATCAATAGTCTTGCTATATTGGGTGTATAAATATTCACATAACCTGAAATGCCAAAAGCCATGGGCTAACAGTATATAATTGTAAGTGGCACCACATCTTGACATCATCTAGTGACTTAGTATAAAAACTGGCTAGTTCACTTCATGACAAAGCAACATGAATTATCAGAGTTTGAACAGGGCATGATAGTGGATGCTAAAGGAATAGGACATTCCATTTCTGAAATTGTAAGGACATTTGATATCTCTCAATACTGTATATGATGGACAGTGAAGTGGCAGACCACAGGTCCTTAATGATTGTGACCAGTGGCTACTGGTAAGAATTGTCTGTGATAACAAACAAGCAAAACTGGCTTAAATTTCATTCACATTCAATTGTATCAAATGTAAATCTAACAAGTCAGTTTTTGTGTTCTTTAGCTTCCAATACAGAAGAGCCACCATGTTGAGCCTGTTGACACCAGTCATAGCACTTCAGCTGGGCATATAGTGGTGCT